TGAGACAGAGTTCCCTTAACGGAGGAAAAAAAAAAAAAAAAAAAAAAAAACACCATGGTTGGTCGAAAAATTAAAGCTGATGGCTCTTTCGACTGCAAAGGCATGCGTTCATCAGAATTAGTACCCACATGGTCAGAAGAATCAAACAGAAACTCTACCAGGGAATTCTGCTCGTTTGAAGACGCTGAGTGCAGGAAGAGGTGAATATGCCGAAAAACCTACTTTGATGTTGCATTCATGACCGGGGCTCCAAATTCTGATGATCTTCAAGGTCTTTGAAAGATGACTTAGCATTTAGAGAAAAATGGCAATAAAAAGACTTAAAAAACTTAAAGAAAATGATCTAAATATTTTGAATACTCAAAAAAATTTTGAACGAAAATGTTTATTTATTCAAAATGAACTTAAACAGTTTTAAAATTTTTTTATATTAAAATCAATATGACAATGAAGTCACATTTCGTGAATCATTTTAACGAATAAAAGCATTTGGCAGCATACGAGGATGTGTAGTCGGTCTGACATTTACAAAATGTGTAAAGACGCATTCGACCAAAAACATTTTATTTCCCCTCCACAAAATGTGATGCCTCTGCGGTCCGCCCCTGCCGCCGCGTGATGTCACGCTCTTGCCGTGAAAGAAGCCCGGCAGAGTCACGTGTGCCACGTCAATCACCTGCGTCTCATTTTGGACTAAGCCTTAGCCCCCCCCCTCCCCTCACGCGTCACCCCTGCAGAGTCAGGATGTCCGAAAATTACAGATTTTCACCCTTTCACGTCACCATTACAATAGACCCGGGCAACGCGCTTAGTCAACACTGCACCCCCGTCACACACGGCACACTGCTGACGCCGCCCGACAGCGGACATGCGCCGGCTGTTCAGATCCTGCTTCCACGCGACCACGCAAGCCTCTTCTCGAGTGATTGAAAAGGGATTTCGGCGGCGTGTCAACTGCACTAGTCATAGTCCCGAAGGTATAGTCATCGTGTTGCTCGGAGAGGTGGTTGGTCATTTTCCCCCGCTGGATGTGAGACCCGGCGCGACCGGGTTTTCCTCAACCAAGTATCTTTCCCACCAGCCGTACCGCTCAAAGCCGAGACAAGCTAAAAATCGCTCCCGTCATGCTGTGGTGCAGTGCATGTAGAATAACGGGTAGATAGGACAGATGAACGGAAAGAAAATCGCGAGCGTGTCCCGTAAACCCGTTTGTGAGGGTCTGCTCCCGCATGCGCCTTGGAGTTGTTTGGGAAGAAACCAAGGAAGAATTATGATCTTAGCAGTTCGGCTGTGCAAGAATTCGTCTAAAGATACGACAGAACTCGCCTGAATCAGCTAGTGTCGAAAATCTGCCGCTCGTTAAGGCTCTAACCTAGACCTCCCGGTTCAGAGCACGTGCATGACATCAGTTGAGGACCTGACCACCCTCCCTGTGCCTCTTAGTCTCGACGACAGGTGCTGAGTCCCACAAGTTCCAGGGAATTGTAGAGTAATTTACACAAGGCTATAAAGAGTGTGTCAAAATAATGTATTTTACGCGAGAAAAATCGGATTTAAACGAACTTTTATGAGCTCAACTATTACTTCTAGATAAGAAGATAAGAATAGAATTGTAATGAATTCTATAACGTTAAATTCTACCGTAAATGATTGCGAAGACCATACTATTATTTGCGCAACTTTCATTTCCAAGATTATTTTTAACACTTAATAAAAGAAGTCGAGGGTCCTTCAGAACTGCCACTGTAACAGGAATACGTCATTTTTCTATTAATTATTAACGACGAAGCACACCGAACCCAGCTAACCGTCTCGTGCAAGCATAACCCACAGAGCGCATACTGTGAGATCTTCCCGCTTCACTCGGAAGAATCATAAGATCTGCGCCACCCTCGAAGATGGTGGCGGGCGGTGGGTGAGTCGTCGGGTATCCCGCGTCACTGATGCATCGGTCTGGCGCCCCACCACCCTGGCGTAGTTCACACTCCGACGGACAACGTTTTTGCTCGGATTTTTAGAATTCAAGACCCACAAAACATTTTGATTTCTGTCTACTCAGCATATATAGAAAAAGTAAATTACTATATGTAATACTAAAGTAAATTACTATATGTAGATTTACTTTTTCTTATACAAGATTTGGTCCGTCACCATGTTCGTTATGCAGGTCCGGCAATATGAGTTTTTTCTGTCAAACTGTCGCTGCCCCTCCCTTCAGAATTTCGAGACTTTCTCTAGATTTGGCGTATTACGCAGTGCGTAAGCAATAGCGAGAAAATAACTAGGGATTCTTCGAATTAGGCAGCAGACTTTCCCGTTTTAGTTTTGCTATTTCCTTCGGTCTGCGGCTAGCTACTCGGACCTTGCCACATTACTCTTGCCAGCTGCACACTATCTCAGCCCAAAGGGCATTTTTCTTCAACTTACTAATTTTTTTGCGTTTCCGAACAGCTTAGACGGAATATGATTTAATTAATATTAAAGAACAATTAAAAACACGTCATATGTGGCCAGTTTTATTACAAAAATTTTGGAGCCGTTTTTTAAAAAAAACTAGCGTTTTAAGCGTACTGTAAATTCGAAATATGAGGCTCTTTTTCATAGAAAATTTGAGTTTTTCGATAAAATTTCATTTTAACCGTTTTTGAATGGCAACAATAACCTCAACAAAAAACGATAGTATTTACAAACTGCAGAAATGTGATAATAGCGGGCATGTGAGAATCTTTCAAAAAAATTACATTTCCGTTAATTTTTCGAAGATAAGAAAATTCCGAAATGAACTTTACATCACATCAAAGAGTGGGATTAGCACTATCCTTTCGAAAATTTGAAGAAAAAGTTTGGAGACATATTTTAAAAATGCTTTTGGAGGCATTTGCCTGAAAATAGCGGACCTATTCTTGAAAGTTTACCGCCAGCTTTGTCCACAGACGGCCAAATACGTTTTTACGTCATTCGACTTTTCGTATCAATTACTCACAAACAGTAGATTCTGCTACACACATGTTGAAAGAACTTTTAATTCTAAATTTAGTAACTGGAGATATTCAACTTTTTTTTACCAGAGACCTGTATTAAGAGTTTTACTCATCGAAAATTTCCCGTTATTTCGCGCAGCATATCAATGCCTACATGAACTGACTACCGCCCTTTCTCTACCCGTAGCGAGAAAGTTAAAAAACAACAGAAAAATACAATATTTACAGGCATCTCAATTATATCATACGACCGCCAGAACTTAAAAGCTCGTTAACTTGCGGCACCAACGTAAGGAAGGACTGCCTTTGGAATTGCCCTTTAAAAGCATAGGCGAACCCGGCTGCCGCCTGGGCCTCAACATTTTAAAAACAGACCTTAAAGAATTATATATTAATTGTATTAATTGGTAAAAATACATAAAGTTCACTGCCTTCATAATAATAAGTTCAATTTTCGGAGACAAGTTAATCTTTATCGTATTGTCAATGCGTTAAACCTGCAGCTGGTTTCTGAAATAATTAAATGGCCAGCCCAACTGCTTCAGAACAAGCGCGAGTGCTCAGATCTTCGCTCCCAATTGTCACGGAGCTATCGCGCGAA